TATCCCCCTGCCCAGTTAGGTTCTGCTATCCCAGCAGTGCACCCTCCCAGTTTCTTGTGAAAGTTAATTCTATCCCAGCTGAATGAAGACATTAGCCACCCCTTATTCTACAGCATCTATGTGATGCCCAGATCCTACACTTGCCAATTAATCACCACCACTTTATATATATACACACACATATATACACACACACACACAGAGATATCATTCCCTTAGTCCATGGGTCATTCCTCTAAGATATCCTTTGAGTTCATTCAATCCATATCTCAGGACCTCCATCCATCATAACAGTTTTCGAGGGCAGGAGAGGTGGCGTATGGCGCTGGATTGTTGCAGGCGGCATCTGAAACTTGCAGCTGGTGAATTTGGTGAAGCCCATGCCCATGATCTGTGGGTTGAAGATGACGGGAAGTCTCAGGGAAGTTGCTGGGTGCCAGTTGCTGAAGCCAGTTCTAGTTTCATCAGTGCTGCCCTTTGCTTGATTTCATTTAAGTCTATTCTTCATTAATTTGAGTAATTTTTATGTAATACCATTGATAGGGCAAACAGTAACTGGCGTAGTGATGACATACAGTGGCAGGGTTATTAAGAAATTAACATAATACAATTTCATTCACTGGCTATTTTCACAAAAAATTAAATCACCTTGAGGTATACAGTGGAATTACCCATCCTTCAGCATCACCTGCCAAGTGCACCCATGTCTTAAACCAAAGGAATCCCATGGATTAATAGCCTTTGCAGGCAGGACTAATCCAGACTGTCTTCCCTAACATATTCTTCATGTATGCTATGGGGACTTTATCTCCTTCTACAGTATGTGGAAATTTTGATTGGGCAGGGACAGCTCAACTGGCAGATGCCCTAGTGTTGACTAACCAGCTGGCCTTTGCTAAATGTGCATCCCAATGTTTGAATGTCCCATCACCTGTTGCTCTCAGTGTAGTCTTAAACAGTCCATTGCATCATTTGATTTTCCCAGAGGCTGGTGTTTCATAAGGGAATGTGATACACCCACTCAATGCCATGTTCTTTGGTCCAAGTATCTGTGAAGTTGTTTTGGAAATGAGTCCTGCTGTCTGACTCAGTTTTTTCTAGAGTGCCATGTCATCATAAGACTTGATTTTCAAGGCACAGGACAGTGTTCGGGATGTTTCCAGCCATGCAGTGGCCAGCCGATTCATCCACCATTTGCCCCTGGCTTCTTTTCCAGGACACTGCTGCCAATGGGTTGGTTGGCATATGACTGTGGTGCATTTCCTAGAAAATTCTGCCACATGGGTTGTGTACATTGGACTTATCTGGATCTGTGGGCAACTGTGTGATATCTGGATCACTATAAATCACCAACAGCATGACTCATTGCCTCAGGTACTGGATACCTTTCCCTGTGGTGGTCCACTTGCCTGGGTGACATGTAACATCTTCATTCTTAAGAAATAACAGTACTAATAAAAGAATATACAAAGAAAGTGATACACAATCCAATTGCTTACCATCTGGAACCAAATGCCCAGCCCTTCTTGTCATGGTCAGTGAGAAACATGCATTAATGACAAAAGTCCTATTGATTCCAAAAATCACAGTGCATTGTAACTAGATGAGAATGCAAATACAATGTAAATGGAAAACTAAAATTATATTGAGAGCCCACTGTTCTGATGTAGTTGAATTTTTTTTCAAGATTTAATCAAAAAATTTATAAGTACCGGAAAACAATATATTAAAAAATGAAAGGAGTTTCTTCGTACTTCTTTTAGGTGACTTGAAAGTAGCTTTACAAATATAATGCATGCATGGTTCCAACTCGTTTTGTGTTCCGGTCTTACACATGTAACTCAGCTGACCTCATGTGTAACCACCCAGTAAGAAGGTTAACTGGTCAAATGATGATCAGGTCATTTTCTGGTTTGTTTGTGCTGCAATGATGAACTTAGTCCAATGTAGGCCAGGAAAGTGAAAATATGATAAAACCAGATTATAAAGCAGTAACATTAATTGTGGTTTATAACAGTTTTGTAACCACACTGGACTGTGGCAGCGTTGGGAAAAAAGGGATTCAGGGAGAAAGGAAACCCGAGCCATGGGAAAAGTAAAACCCAGGGAAGCATACAGGAGAGTTGGTAGCATTAAATCTGGACTACCACCTGTAAAAAGCAATGTTTTGGGTTGTCTTGGACAAAAAGCTTATATACTGTTAGCACTCTAAACTGAAAGATTGCCTGATGGAGAGTCCAGGAGGCAAGGATGAGGGACAGTATTTTTTTGTAGAAAACCTTGTAAAAATTCATTTCAAACAAGTGAACAGAAGGCTTGGATTTAGAGTTTAAAATAAATCTTTTTTATGAATTTCATTGTGGAAAGTTCCTTCTTGTTTTGGCTTAGCTTAATTTTATAAAAGAACATGTTTGTGGAGAACTTTTGTGTTCAGCTACAGATGCAAAATATGTTCATACCCACTATTTTTTAAAAATGCTAATAGTTGTTTTCATATTATCCCTTTAAATTTTTAACTTACTTCTCCACTGTAAAAAAAACCAACCAAAAAAATAAAAATAATAATAATAATAAAAAAATACCCTTAAAATTTGAAATTGTTATATTCTACGTCATAAATAAATGTAATTAGTGATGGAAAGCACAGGTTTTCTCCAACTCTGTAGGTTTTTATTTCAGTAATTTTTCATGAACAAGCTCCAATACTTGAGTTACATAGTGATCGTAGTGATGGTAGAACGACTCCCTCTTAAGTCCAGAATATGATATACTGACTTGGGAGATTGGTACATGTCCAGTTTTTGATTCTGGCTGCTTTTATTTTTTGTTTCTGGCTGCTTTGATGATACTGCTCCAGCACGGACTGCTGAATTTAGGAGGAAGCTGCCATCTGCTGTTAGGACTGCCTGATATCTCCTGGCAGAGCAACAAGGCTTTAAATCTTGAGGACATGTATTTAAAAGGGATTCTCAGGCACTGTTTTCCTGAACCTGAAAGAATGCTTTTTCCTGACTTATTTGAGAGTAAAAGATTCAGATGTAGAATTTTTTGAGAATAAAAATGAAAGAATGAGATGTGAGCACCGAGCCAGAAAATCTCTGAAGGACTCAAAGTGGCTTGGAAAATAAAGAAGGCTCAGTCACTGTCACAGTTAGCTAAAGTACAGAAAAAAACAGAGTCCAAAATCCAGAATACAAATGTGATCCAGAAGCACAGAATTGAAAATAAGGGTTCTAGAGCCTTAAAAAGACATTGACTGAATTCACAAGGAACACTTTGAAGTGGTGAATAGGTGGGATGTGTGGCTGGCTTTTTTATCTGAATCTGTTCATGCTTTGTGCTACAGGGAAAAGAAAAACAGAAAAGTGATTGGACTGAGATTCACATCATTGTGTGTAGCTTTTTTCTTCTGCCAATCTGTGTCTTTGGAGGAGAAAAACTGATCTTAGATGGTAGGAAAAGGCATGCTGAAATCCTGGGGAGGTCAGGTGAACTGGCCTGATGCTGCACCAGCTGGGTTTAGGTGTGAGCACGTGGGAAGTGAGAGTGCCTAGAGGGTTCTTGAAGAGGATAAGCGCTCAAAGAGTGAAAACTGAATTCAGTAGCTCAATTCTTTACCAGGTTGGGAAGCACAGAAACAAGAGGCTGTTTGGAGCCTTCCTACAGAGAGCTAGAGACCAGTGCAATGGGTGTCTGGTTGGGAAAGGTTTTCATAGGTCTTCAAAGGAAAGTATGAAGAACACCGTAAGCATTTTTCAGTTACTAAAAAACCACAATATTTTTAAAGATGCTGAGATTTTTAACCATGTTAAGAAAAATTATGACATGACTAATAGCCTTCTTCAAATATAATTTTAATTGTCCATTATTACAGCCACACCACTATTCTGCCAGTGCCATTGTCAGATTTTTTAGTTTAACACCATCTTTTTGCTTGCTTACATAAAATATGTGAGTGAGACATATAAGTGTGGTAATTAATTTCACTCTGTTAATTTATCTGTTCACTGAGTGCGAGACAGATGCTGGAGAGACAGGCATCACAATTAATGTTTTCCCAATATCCTACCTTTTCCCAAGTGCTTAGTGAAACACCTAGTATAATATACAGTGCTTTGCTGTCATCTAGTGTGATGATAAAATAGCTATACTGTCTTGTACATACACTGACAGCTAAGAATTCTTGCTCTGTTTTCCAGTGGTTTAGATCATGATATTTAGCCTTTAGGACAGATTTTCTCGATAGACACACATGAAAGTCATACTTATAAATGAAAATCAGATGAAATGGAGGAAATATTAATATTCTTTTAATCTCATCTGTTTATTGTTTTAATCCATAAAAATGATGCCTTTTTAAAACATTTCATAAATCTTCCTTTCCCATTTGTACCACCAGGGTATTATTTAACTTCCATATCTTTATAAGCAAAATTTTAGTTTTCTGGGGAACACTGAAGCTACACTTCTAAGAAATGATTCCAAGAATGATACAGTTAGTATGTGCAGAAATTCTGAGGAGTTGAATTAAATCTAGTCTTGAGAAGGGTAGGCACAGGGGAATCAAGCCTGTAATACATACATGTCTCCAAAAAAAAAAAAAAAAAAAAAAAAAATTTCCCTTGGGTAGCTGGGCAACAATTTATAACAGGTGGAACCAGAAGGAATAACAGTTTGTAAGTGGTATAAATGGGCAGCATCTGACCTGCAAAAGAAGGTCACTATGACTAAAAATATTTTAGAACATTAACGGGATTTAGGCAGATCTCAAAGCTCCAAATGCATTTGGATTACAGCAGGTGACTGAAGTTGTTGTGTTTGCACTACATATGATTAGCCTTCTGTGAAATACAGAATCTCAGAGATTTTCTTTCTAAACATTACTAAGGGAATAAGATTTTACAAAACTCTATGAGGAGTTAGAACACACAAGAAAGTATCAAACAATATCGTATTTACCATAGCATCTTCTACACCTCTATTTTGTCCTAATTTTCCAGGGAAGCACAGCTTTTTGTGGAAAAATTTGAAGGTGCTCTTGGAAAAGGAAAAGGAAAAAAATTCTATGCCTACAAAGTGATGATGACCAAGGTAAACTTCAATTATTTCACTAACTTGATGTTATGCAAATGGGTTGCTTTTTCCAGATTTTTGTCATATGTATCCATCTTCCAAAACAAAGTTCCTTGTCTTTCTTTGCATTTCAAAACTTTTATTTCCACATTTTGTGCATGAAAAGATTTCTAATGCAAGCTCTCACTGCTCACAGTTTGATTGAAACTTGCCATCAAGACAAAAATGAACTGTTTTGCATGAGTTTGTATGAGTTGAAAACATCGTGTGAAAGTTAATTTCTCTTGGTCTAGATGAGACTTTTTTGTGGACTGAATCCAAAGCTCAGTATTTTGCTTGACACAGTCCTCTGTGAAGGATCAGGAAGTATCTTTTTACCCAACAGCCAAAATACCGGAGACATCTCCACTGAGCCAAGGTTCTAGTGCCACGTATATCCCAGACTCTGTAGGATTGTGACTGAAAGGCCAAACAGTGGTTGCCGAGTACCCAATGTCCACAAAATATGTGTTCTGGCAGGTCTTTCTTTGAGCTAAGTCCAGTGTGGTCCCAAGAACGAAATACCCAGTACCAGTGGATGTGGAGTAGTGTGCTCCTCAAGTATTCTCTTCAAGTACATTTTTTGACTTAGTTTTGTGCTCTGACACTGCTTTATGGTCTAAATGTAAGTGTGGTAAATTGGGATGATTTGACAGGTTCACTTCAAAAGCACACGTGCCCCAAACTAAAATGCTGATGCTAAGAATGTTTAGAAGGATGATTTGCTATGGCCAGGTTTACCCTTAGGCTGGATTTTCTGCAAGTGGTTTTGTAGTCATATTTCATAAACACTTTGTTCACAAAAAACAATTAAGCTTTCAAACTCATCTTGACACAGGAAACTCAGTTACAGAAGTTATACTTATCCAATAGATGAACTACTGGACAGTTTTCGTAATTAAATGATAGCTTGGTCTCCAGATCTGAATTTTGAATAGCAAAGGGAATAACAAATTAAATTCTCATAAACAATTCTAAAAATATGAATTGCACAAAAGGAAGGTATTATTTAATCATTCTTCTGGTAGAAGAAATAAGACTTCATATAAAGCCAGTAGGAGACATATTGAAAACAAACAAAAAGGAGATGGTTCTTCATAAGCTACTGCTACTATTGCAGTGGGCTCTGCCAAAGGAAACTGTGGATTGTTAAGGGATTACAGGAGCTCAAGGAAAAATTGAGCATCTGGCGTTGAGATGATGGTGTATGTTTTTTGTGGTGGGTTTTTTTTTTTTTTTTTTTTTTTAAATCTGTGACCCTTTTCAGAAATGGATGAAATTTCAAAGAGATTTTGAGAATTTTAAGACAGCCTGCATACCCTGGGAAATGAAAATTAAGGAAATTGAAAGTAAGTTCTTCTGGAAGGTAATAAAGAATAGTATCTAGTATTATATTCCTAATGCATGTCAAAACGGTAAATTACTTTTTGATACTTTAGAAATATATGTCTGTATTCAATGTGTAGTATAAAATCAATGAGTATTTATCTTTCATTAATATTTATTGATCTCAATATTGTAGCTAGTTCAACACTTCCTTGATAGAGTGTTAGTTACTTTACAGATAAAAATCCTCAGTATACAGGTAACAGTTCAGGAGCCAGTGTTGAAATAATCCTGGAAAATTGGAATTGGGACTTAGCCTACCTTCAATTTATTTCTTCCCTATTTATAGGATAATTAATTTTGTGATTTTTTTTCATCATCTTGAGCCTCACATAAGAAGTATTTTGGCATTATTTTTCTTATTTTCAACTACGTAATTCAACACAGGTTAAATAATAGGGGTCTTGGATGTCCCCATATATTAGGCATAAATATAAAACAGTGTCGTTAGTACTATGGGTAGGTTTGAGAATAGGTTTTTGACACAAGCCAGTTTTGTGTTTCAGTTCCAGTGACGAATTTAAACTACAGGCCTTACTTTGAAGGAAATTTGGCTTAACTGCATGGGTACTTCAATGATACTCTTCCAGTGATTAAATACATATGAAAGTGCAATGGAAATGTGGTTTTAGAGAAGCTGCTTTTGGATGAAGCTGTGGGTTGCATCAAAAGACAATAACCAGAACAGCAGTTGAACAGAAAAATGATAAATTGTGAATTTTGTGGAGTTTTGGAGTGCAAAATAACCCTTGAGGACAATTTATATGATATCCTTAAACATATGGTCTACAGACTGCTGAACGGATTATCTACTCACTTGAGGTGCAGTTTAGAAAGAAGCTGGACCATTTATGTTGTTAAAATCAAACTCAGCAGCAAGGTGCATGTGGTCTCTTACTGTTCTGGACACATAATAAGCATCTTGAGGACTTGTGAGAGTGATGTTTCTGCAAGTTTCTGTAAACGAGTAGACCTGGCACGAGTCCTGCCCGTAATAACTTTGAACAGACACATTTCTTTCCTTTTGTAATCAGAATGCAAAAGTAGAGCAGGCTCATTTTCCCTGTCCTGCTTTCATACCTATTTATTTTTAAATTTGAAATAAGTCACATTTTTGCTGACACCTGGAAGTTTCCCAAAATCACGGTGGCATAGTACCTTTCAATAATATCAAGGGATAATATTGTGACGATTACTATTTTTCTATTAATTTTTGTTTTGTTCAACATATTGCTAAGACAAGGGGCAGTTCCTTCTACTTGTAGAAAAAACCCTCTATTTGAATATTAGTAATTTAAGAAGTAGAGTTAAACCACAGTTTGGTCTAAAACACCTAGGTGCTGGTGGAACACGTAAGAGGAAAAGAAGGGGTACGAACACTTGCACACCTTTTTGTTCTCTAGTGAACAATGCTGGTGAGCACTCTAATAACATCACTTACAAGTACTTTGAGCCCTTGGAAAGACTATCCCCACTAAATCTGTGCTGCTTCCTCCCAAAACTGGGCTGGTGCTGGCTCAACATTGCTTACAATTCACATCAGACAAAAAATGAAAATGAAAAAACCAGAAAGTGAGATTTGTTTTGAAAGCTTCTGCTAAAGGATTTAAATTAGTAAATACCACAGCTTTTATGTGACCCTAAATACTGTCTATAAATAATAATTTAATATTTTTGCTTCTGTTTTCTCTGTGAGGTTGATGAATAGTCAACACAATCCGGATAAAAAATTATTAGAATTATGATAATAAAGAAAATGAAAAACCTCCCTGATTTTAGTTTGAATAAACTTTGAACAACTTCATCTTAACTTAAAATAACATGAGCACCTACTTATCTGCCCTTTTTTCACATCTCATGTTTTCATAGGTCACTTCGGCTCATCAGTGGCATCTTATTTCATATTCTTGCGTTGGATGTATGGAATAAACATGATCCTCTTTGGACTGACCTTTGGACTTGTAATGGTGCCTGAGGTGGAAATCTTTTCAATTATCACTGAGAATTGTTATGTGAATTTCTGTCTTTGCAGTGAGATTTCATAGGACTGGGCCTTTAAATAAATCTGTAATCTCGTTATGCTGCATTTAAAAGTATGACGGTGAACTAAGGCTGTAATGATGTACCTTTGTGGATAGTTGTCTCTACAGAGAGACACAAGAGGAAAATATATATAGCATTGTGCCCTGTTTTTTCCCATGGTCTAGGATGTTACTAACCTTTTTTTTTTTCTTCCTATGGAGAACTGAGGCTAAGAAGCATCCAAGTGCTGTATCTTGACTAAAGTGTGCATTGCAATAGAAAGACAAGCCAGGCCTCTGAGACACCATGGATCCTTGTCATTTACCTTAATACTCACATGCTGATAAGGACCAACAGGACTGTAAATTCATGAGAGAGACCCCTCATGTTTTGTGCTATGTGCAGCATCACTGTTAATAATGCTGCTTAGGGCTGATGTAATTCAGACAGAAATCGCTTCTGTGAAATGTAACATTTTCCAGTTCCTTTGACTACATTATTGCCTTCTTAAAAAGGACGACTTATATGGAATTAAAAGTATTGTGCCATCTCTCTGATTTCACTGTTAGA